CTTGATCAAAAAATTTGCTCCAATCTCCCCCTCGCCGGAGCTCCGACCGCCAGAAAGCTAGGACGTCATTTCGACGTGTGAGCACCACCCATCCTCCTAAAGCACCTAAGCCGTGAACTACGTAAACCAAGGAAAGCTCCTCTCTTCTTTTTATTTTATTTTATTTCCATACATACTTACAAACCTAATATCTAAACTTTTCAATATTTGTATTCATGGCAAAGAAATCTTAAGTATTTGCATATTTAACACCTAAGCTTTTAAAGGGGAGAAATTTACATGCATACCACCATATTCCTACGTATTTACATTTCCAACACCTTAAAAAAAAAGAAATTTACATAGACGCCACAAATTTTATGTATTTACGTACATACCACTTTACTCTTCATGCACGCCTTGTATCTCACATATTTACATACACACCAACTGATTCCTTTTTTTTTCTTATTCTAACACTCATGCAATACATAATTTGTGAATATTCTACATGCTTAGCACTTAAATCTTATATATTCTACATGCATGTCTTTAAATGTTCACTATTTACGTACACACCACTTAGCCCTTGAATATATTACTACATTCACACACCTTTGAATCATAAAAAATTTTATTTGTGCCACTCAAATCGTGAATATTTACATGCTTGCCACCCAAGTTTTATGTATTTACATGCAAATTGTTCAAATCTTATATACTTACATGCAAGTCATTTGGATCTAGTATTATTACATGCAAATCCCTCAAATCTTATGTATTTACATGTGACATCTTAAGTCCTTAAACTACACTATTTACACACATGCTGCACAACTTTAGGTGACTCCATGAAGAACAAACCCAAATAAGAAAGAAGAGAAACAGAAGAAGAAGAAAAAAAAAAAGAGAACTTTAATACTTCCATGCATAGAGGAAAGAAAAAAAAGAAGGAATTTTAATAATAATAAATAAATCCACATTTTTAGCATCTAAAGAAAAATAAGAAAGTGATGTTCACTTACATACCAATTAATTCCTATGTATTTACATAATTAATACTTTGTTAATGTTTATGTATTTAGATATTTAAATCCGAAATTTTTCACATATTAAAAATTTTTATATAATATATCTCTATTTATAAATTTTTTAAATGTTATATATAAAGAATTGTATGTTGTATATGTAAATTGACAAATAATTAAGAAATATAACTTTCCAAAAAGAGTAAGAAAATATAATTTTGCTACATGTGTGTGTCTATATATATATATATATAGATATATATTATAAGGAAAAAAAATATGAAAATTTGAATATTAATAAAACATGAGACAAAATTGATCTTAATAATTTACGCCAGCATATAATATCTTTGTAATGTTTTCAAGGCAAAAAGCATTTTTTTTTAATACTCATTTAAAGTTTCTCCATAAATTCATATATATGGAATTAAAAAATTCCAAAAAAAAATATAATATATTTTAGAAAAAACACAAAATCACTTCTAAGATGTTGATTAGTCTATGGGTGATTGAGTCAAGTAATTAGATTTTTCATGGGATAGTTTAAAAGATATTAATCGTACGGTACATTTGCAAATATTGTAGTTACACTTTCAAACCTTAAATAGTGAATGATGGGTCATATTAAAAAGAAAAAGGACAAAAACTAAGGATTAAATGTTTATTAAGGTGATTAAAACATAGAGGGCTAGTTAGGATTCTCAATAGATCATTAAAAACATGAAAAGGAAAAAAATATAAATTTATATATTGTTGAGAATTAGAAGATTTAAGTGTTTGGATGATTAAGTGGGAGAAATTTATGGTTTGAAAATGTTTAAGTCACTGATATAAACTTCCCACCACAAGTTGGAAAGGTTTGTATGATCATATGAAGGATAAATAACAATATGTATTAAATTACAAATTTACCTTTAGGATGTTAAAAGTTTCATAATGAAGTATACATTACTCAAAATCACTAAAGTACATAATGAAAATTCTTAAGTGAGACATAAACAACAAATCACTGTAAAAATTTAGAAGTCTTAACCTAATTTAAGGGTAAATTTGCAAACACCTTCAAAATTACAAAAATACCTTAAGTGGTCTTTCATTTTGTTAAAAATAAAAGTATGAATCATGAAGGCTAAATTATTGAAGTTAATTGTTAATAAACTAAATAGAAACCCTAAAAAATGTAGATGGGTTAAACGGAGGAGATTTAAGTATCAAATTAAATATCTAGAATTACACTCCTCTTAGTAATACTTGAATAACTTTCTTCATAGAACTCCAATTTGGGTAAAGTCTTCACCCATAGGCTAATTAAATCATAAGGAGTAAAAGTAGTCAAAACTTATTTTAGATTAATAATATTTTAAATTATTTTCTTTTTTAAAATTGATCAGCAAATTCATTAATTCATAAAAAAAAAATTAGATGAACTTGAAATGGCTTGAAAATTTTGAGATTGTTAGAATCACATTCGAAATGTCTCGGCAAGGTTTTAAGCATTTTGGAGGTCATTTAGATTTATTATGAATATTTAAAGAAAATTATCTTTGAAAATAAAATAATTCTAAAAAATCAAATAAAATACTAAATTCCACAAGAATTTAACCCAACACACCTTAACTCAAAGACACATCCAATACTCAAGGGTTTGAGTACCAAATATCATGTTCAAACCCTCATTAATAATTGGAGACATTTGAATTGTGGAAGTTTCATATAAAATATCTAGCTGGCTCATAAGTTGGAAGTGTTAGTGATACGCATGATGATGCAAAAGGCATCTGGTGCTAAAATTCAGGATAATAGAATAGTACTATATCTCCTAACCTGATGACTCTGTGAGGGTTCAGGATTGATGATAATATTCATTAACATTGAGTAAGAAGTTGTTTTTACTTTCCTAGGCTGCTAGTTGCTCTAGCCCAATAATGTGACTGACTTATGGAACTTCTGATTTATAAAATATACAATAATAAATTAAAAAATCTTTTCTTTGGGGAATTAATATTTTAGTTGCTAAGTGAAAGCCTAATTTATTAATATGCATGATAAACTAAGAATTTTTGTTATTGCCTTCTGAATGTCCACTTGTCAGTTACCTTAATTAGGCTAAGAATTGTCCTCCTTTGATTGTCTTGATGACAATTTCTACTCGATGTTGGACTTTATAAGCACAAATTCCTATGTTTGCCTACGAAAGTCCCTCGAGAAAATTTTGAGGGCCAACGGTCCTGAATCTGAGTCCATCCCTAACTCAAGAATACTTATATCCACTTATGATATTTCACTTATTTACTACCCAGTTTTATACGAACATACATGCTTATATATTTTATATTTAAATTTTATAATATTTGATGTTTGTAATAATTGCAATTTCATCAGAGGTGGCAAATATGTACGAGCGCTTTCTCCTTTTTAGTATACTTGAAATGTGCATGTTTCTTTATATGTTATCCCTTTAATATATACTATTTTTGTGACACGAGCCCTTAGAGTAGTGTACATAGGGTATTTTGGTAAATTCTCCTTTATATTCTCCTGAAAAAAAAATTACCCAAGTCGTGAAAAAAAAATTACCAAGTCGTCATGTGAACGACGACTTCGAAGCTAACCAGGCAAAGTCGCCGCTGATGAGGCAAATTTTTCTATTTTGAAAATTTAATCTTAAAAATATTTAAATATTTTACTTGTCTCGAGTGAGCTTAAAACTATGTATTTTTTTCCAAAAAAATTAATAAACTTAAAACTATCTATTTTTTTCCAAAAATATTGTAAAAGAATAATATTTTAAAAAGTGATGTATTGCTCAGGTTCCCAAATACTTTGAAAAAAACACAACTTATTATTTTATGATTTATAATTCATAAAAAATGACCATAGTAATTAGAAAATTTATAGCTAACTCATTAGGTTTGTAATAACTTCTTATTATTTAAATTACTATTTTAAAAGTATGACAATAAGTATTTTCTTTAATTTAAATATAATAAATTTCTCTACAATTTACTCGTATCATGAAATAATATTTTTCATAAATAACATGGTTCAAAATATAGATGCAGAACTTATCCTAAATTTCAGATTATGATACTTAGTTTATATATACATCAAATAGAGTTTACATCAAACCTTGAAGTCAATATATCATCAGCTTTGCATCATATGCCTATAACTAAGCACTGACAAAGTTTTGAAGAAATATACAATAAAAAACATCACCATAAAACTATAAAAATTTTTGCTTTGATTTTTTGCCTAACAAACCCTAGTCCAACACAAATTTGCATTAGAAGCCCCAGACACAAAATACTTCTCCAAGGAAAACTAAAACAACCATGAATTACAACCTTTTTTCAGGCACATACACTTACCCAAAATTGCATCAGTTAAAAGTGCAAATTCAAATACCATGAAGACGGTTTTCAAAGTTTGCCACGAAAGATAAGCAGAACTTCACCACCCTGACCCATGGCTTGGTTCAAGAATGCTGTTAGCTCATCCAAATCATGAATAAAAGACATCCATGGATGATGCTTACCTGGATCCCAGCAATAAGAACTTGAACAAATAGAACTTTTGGGAGCAGATAGACACGAACTGTACTGCCATCACGAACTTGCTCAACAATAGCTTGCATGGATTTTCCCTTATTTGCAGTCAAGAGTCCCATGGCGTCCAAATTACTGGGATCACCTATGGCGGAGGGAGGGAGGTTTCTGATTGATGCCTCTGCTGCACCGGGTGCCTAAATCATAAATCATAAGTCAAAAGAAAGCATATAACTGATTATGCTTTTTATGCATACCCTACGCAGGAAAATTTAGGCTAGCCTCAGATTCAACTATTTCCAACAAAACATGACTTGGAAAGTTTTTCTTTAGCATTTTATAATGAAAATATTAATCACATATTATTTCCAACAAAACATGACTTGGAAAGTTTTTTCTTTAGCATTTTATAATGAAGATATTAATCACATTAAAAATAGTAGTGACATATCTGTTTCATTTCCAGGATTTCCATCCAACAGAATATGCAACAGTGCAGATTCACCGAGTACATTAGAGCTATTTTTATGCCCACTTACCTTACGAAAGGTCTCTGATATAGGACCATCATTTTTCGATGTCATCAATTCCTATTCGACTTTGTCAAGCCCTTTGATTTTGGCCTGCATTTCTTATGCTAAAGCTTTTAACTGAATCTACAAAAAGTTGGTCTTCTCATAAGTTATTTACTCATTATAAAACTATACCTTAGAAGCAACTTCTAGGCTAACAAGATCCTTGGGTGAAGGTAATTTATACTCTCAGATAAATGTTGCAGAGCGTGATCTTAATGTCAGCCAAATCACTTGAGTGAAGGTAATCCATTCACTATGTTCAGATAAATGGTGTGGCAAGCAAGCAAGGCCATAATTGTCCATGGAAATCAAACTCCAATAGTTTATACAAAAGAGTAAAAGTAAGGTGAAAAAGAATTTAAAACAATAAAAAAATCTTGAAAAGACACAACTAACACAGAGAAAAGAAAAGAAACAATACTCCAGCGACCTAGCCCTTGTTGCTTAGCTTGCTCTTCCAAATGCAGCAGTTCTGCTAAAGCTGGGCTTGCTTCGCCTATTTGTGGACCCTGCTCCTTAACCTGATTCAAAAATACCTTTCCTATGCAAAATTTTCTCAAAATCTCTCTGCTGTCCCATGCAAATGGCTCATCCATTGTACCTCGGCGAGCCTATTACATTAGAGATAGGAATCGATTAGCCTTGTAAATACATCATTTGCAAATGATGATGAAAATCAGCATTCTAATATGCATTGGAAAGACCAAAACATATTTTTTGTGCCTGCCTGGATATGCAAGCATGAAGTTGGGAAAGATGGAAATATGCAATCAAACAAAGTCATTGTGTAAAAACACAAACATTTCATACAAGAAACTTTTACGTATGCCACTTATTACAACTAAGCTTCAATCTTTTAATATGTATGCCAACCTTACTTATACATAAAAAAGATTATTAACTTTTTTAAAGTTAAAATAATGACATTTTTTATGTGATATGAGATATTTGGATGCTATAAATGTAACTAGTATAGTTTAGGTATTAGATATGTAAATACATAAGAATTGGGTGGTATTTATGTAAATGCCCCTTCATATAAATAATTAAGTGGTCATTTCAGAAGGGAAAACTAAAAGTACTTTAATTCCTACCATAAATTTGCTCATTTAAATAACTAATAAAAAGAGAAACATGATTGGAAGTTGTATCATAAGAAAATGAATGGATACTCCTAAATAAAGACGATTGTTGTAACATTGTTTGCTACTGAAACTACAGACAAATCTCTTTCCTTCTATAAGCTTTAAACCTAAATCTGTGTCTATCACAATTAACAATGCACACGCCCCTCCTTCCAACTTTATTTCAGAGGCAAAAATGATTCAATTTTACACCAAATAATGTAAGATCAGTTGCAGCAAACTATAATTTCAGAGGCAAATAATTCACACGCCCCTCCTTCCAACCTTATTATCGTGCAGAATCGTTAGATGTATGAGTCAAATCAAACTTGCAAATTGCAAATATTCATCACTTAAAGGACCAATTAAATGTAGATACAACCACACTTTCTAACCGACCAAATTCACACAGCAGTTAAACATCAAGACAAATGTTATTCCAACCTGCACCATGATAATTACTTGAAAAAAACAAAGATCCCAGCTATAACATACAGAACATTCAATAGGTACAAAAAGAAACAAGAACTGAGCTCCATCTATGCCAAAATTGCATTAACCCATCAAAGCAACATTTTAAAGACTGTTAAGAATTCAAAAGATACTTTTCTTTTGATAGAAGAAGGAAAGAGCAAAGAAAATAATCCTTTGATTGTTGAGCAAACACGAATTATAGGCAACGAGTTAGAGAAAAGACAAGAACTTAATATTAATGAAGCGTTAACAACATCTGAGAGTTTATCAACCATTTTGCAAAAGACATGAACTTAGTATTGTTAGTTTATTACCTCATTGAAATTCTTGCTGTATTCTACATATCGAAATTGAACTTGTTCTTTTGCTTCTTATGTCTTCTATATGTGAAATATTTAACCAGCGAAAACAATCAGGAACTTTTGGTTTATAGCTGTTGTTTGTATGAGGGTTTTGTATGAATGGTTTCATTAAATTTTTGTGAAATTTTAGGTTTTCCTTTCGCTTTGCTTCGATGGGTAAATGCTCATAAAAAACAAAATATGATTGTTTGTAGGCTCTCTATATCGAGTTCTTTTGACCCAGATGTGATTTGAATGATTTCAAGTCTTTGCGCATGAAGCTGGCTAACACTTGTGAATCCCTGGCTAGCACTTGTGAATCCCTGTGAATCCCAAAGGAATAAGCTTTGAAGCTGACAGGAACATTCACATACATACCACACAATTTAAATATGTTAACATATCTAACACCTAAATTTGAATAATAACACAACCACTGAGAACATATGGCTAGAAAGCATAAGAAAATTATGATATTAATCTCAAGACACAGGTGCTCCAATAAAAATATGAGCACTTAAAGGGACGACTTACCAGCTCCAATAATTTTGTCAGCTTTTGCCTCACTAATTCCTTTAATTTGCAAGAGTTCTTTCCTTAGAGAAAATGCAATAGCTTCCACATTGCGGAGATCAGCATCTCTGAGCTTTTTTATGTCAACTGCAGTGTCGGTCGCCTTTTTAGAAAAGTACATTTTAAATTTAATATATATATTTCAAATAAATGAGCATAACACTACAAGCAATGCATCTATCCCGAGGAATACATAAATTACTTGCTAATGAGGTTCGATTAAATAAACTAAAGAATTTATGACATCTGTTTTAGTTTGCGAACCATTTCGAACCATTTATGTTAACCGACAAATTTTCTCTATCTAATATAAAAGATTAGATAGGATTTATATTTAGCTGAGTTCTAAAGTTACATATAAGGGCAAACCCCTATAGTTTAATTACATCTTAAATGACCAAAGTTACTTAAGAAAACTCTCGATTTAGATCAGAAAATATTGTCTTCAAAAATTTCAAAGTTATGACTTTCAAAGTCGGACAAAGAAGTATCAAATGGAAAAAGATCAAGTTTAGAACATTTATTATGGAACCCAAAGGAAGAAAACTAAGGGATGTCATGGATTCCAAGGAGAACCTCAGTGACTTCCCAAACTATCCTATGATTCAGTTTCAATTTCGAGGAAATATTATTAAATGTTTCATTTTGCCATATATTATTATTTAATGCTTACACTTGCATGACACGGTCATACAAACAACCTAGAAGATATGAAGATTTATGTCCTAACGAACAACGACATCGGAACCTAAAACGAGTTAGGCTTAAATTGCACAAAATGATTGTGCAAAAGCCTAAAGATAAGTTGAGGATTTATGTCGTACTAGACGGGCAACCTTGAAGTCCTATAACTTGTTATTTAATTCTAAGGAAATATTTGTTGTTGTAGATTCACATACTCTCTTGAAGTTGTTCTTTTGTACATTCTCGTCGAGCTGCCCACAAAGTTAGCTCCAAGCTCCTCGTCGAAGCGATAGCTCCAAGTTCAAGGCTCAAAAGGTTTTGCAGTTTGGACGATAAGTTTTGTTATTTTTCAAGTATTATTGGAGGGGGGGGTTAAAGTCAATTAGAGCGACATCGATCAGGATCCCACAGTTTTCTTATTCCGACACCACTATTTTCTCTTGAATTTACTTAGTCTAAACGAGTTGTTAAGTTCATTTAAATTGGGGATTCATTTAAATTGGGGAGATCTCAATTGGGGAGATCTCGTTAACAACCGTAGGTTACCTCATCCGAGAGACTCTCGTTAATTCAAAAAGACGTATTATGTTTTTCTTTTGAAAAATATATTGTTTTAATTTTGAAAACATGTTTTTTGTATTTTTTAGTTTTAGTATAGTTTTGCAGGTAAAGTAAATAAATACAGGTAAAAAAATATTGTAAAATAAATAAGTAAAATTGCATTGCATAAAATATAAATGTGTAACTTGGCCTCTGCTACTGCTGCATGTTTAACATCGTAAAGCAAAATATATTTGCAGAAATTTCAAATAAATTGCAAGAAAGTAAACAGGAGCATCTGATACAAAAAAAGTCAAAAAAATGAGTCGTAGCAAAACACGAGTGAGTAAAAGAACACCTGTAGTCACATATAGAAGATCGAGACTAAATGTGAGACATTGGTAAATGTGGGGGCTCAGAGCTGGACTGTGTGCTTCCCGACCTTGAGTGAGAGTTACCAACCCGATGATCTACGGAGAGCTGTCCTAACCTCAATCCAAGTAATTAAGCGTGAACCTTTATAAGTTATCATCCTTTAATATAATTTACATGCATATAAAATTTACTTTAATAGGCAAAAGAGATTTCATGAACATCACTTTCAAAATTGCATTTGTAAACCAAATAGTAAAATAGTTTGGGAAGTCATCGAGGTTCTCCTCCGAATCTGAGACATTGCCTATCTCTTGCTCCTTTGATCTGCATGAGAATTGTTTCTACTTGATCCCTTTTCACCTGATTTTCCTACGATCAATCGGGAGAACTTAACTTTGAATTCTTGAAGAAAAAACTTCTGATCTTAATTGAGAGTTTTCTTAGGTGACTTCGGTTGTTTAAGATGTATTTAACTATAGGGGTTCGCCTCTATATGAAAATTAGTAACCCAGATAATCTAAACACTATTTAATCTTTGTATTAGGTAGAAGAATTTTCGGCCATAAATTCCACAAACTAAACAAATGTCATAAATTTCCTAGTTTATATAATCGAGCTTACTGTCAAGTGATACACTCATCTCTCGGAATGATTATCACTTATGGTAATGTGCTCGATTATTTGAACTATTAGACATATGAGGTCCCTTTAGTCTCATTCTCCAAAACTAAAACACTATTTTAAAAATAAAAAAAATTATATATGTAAACTAATGCAGTCGACAAATTCTAAAAGGCGACCGACATAAGTATCATGATTGCTAAAATTAAGAAAAAAAATATTAATATAATATTTAATAATATGATAATATTCTTTTTGAAATGTAGATGACCTATGCCACACACTAAGCTATCCTCCACGAATAATCTCGATGCCCGGTCACTCGTAGTGGTGGAATCCTCAAGCTTATCTGCTCCCGAAAAAGTCAAAGTTTTTTGTGACTCTTTGTGAGCACCTGTAAGACTCTCCCGTAGCTAAGTGTAATGTTAGTAGGGAACATTGTAGTCCACAATAGTAGTGCAATTCTTGGGATTTGCCAAAAATCCTTGAGCTCCTATTTTATGAATGTTTTAAAAGGCATCTCATTAGACATAGCACAAGTAAAAATTGATAAAAGAAGTAATTTATTGTCATTTTATGCATTTGTGTGGTCTCAGAGAGCTCAATATATTAGCCAACAAATGTATGTCTACAAGAAGACAACAGACCATATAAAAACAGAGTTCTTGGTTGTCTTTAATCCACATAATACCTAGCTTGTGTGTGTCACATATGCATATCACCACAAAAGGCCATCCAGAAGAACCTTAGAAACTGTAGCATAAAAAAAAAGAGAGGAACTTGGTTGCCTTCATTAGGATTTCACACGTGACACCAACCAACAGTGACAAATAGGACATCCAAAAGAACCATAAGGACAAAAGTCTCATCACAGACCTCCTAAACCCACAAAAAAAAAGGCAAAAGGTAAAAAAAGCACTTAAAAACAACGTAAAAAACACACAATCAATATCAAAAATATTAGGAATGGAAATAAACTTAAACTGTATAAAATATAAATACAATAAACGATGAATTTCTTCAACAATCATTATAATTAATAATATAACGAATACTCAAATCACCCTCCTACTATCATATCAGTAATTCATTCCCTCAACTTTACCATCTCGCTGACACCTTCCTCATTTTTAGTATAAGTTTCAGGAAAATCATTTTCAGCCTGTGATAAAGACTGCACAAGATGGTACTCAAATGTCTCGGCAGGGACATGCTCATGATCCTCGTTCGTCATACAGAAGTTTATGTCATTGCAGAAAGGATGTCGTCAAATAGACTTATGGAGAGTCATCGTGATAATCACAATCTGCACATATTTGGGAAATAGGTAAGTAGACATATCTCGAAGTATTACCCATTTCTTCTTTCAACTGCTTAAAGAGGAATGTCTTTTATTAAACATTTATTTTCTACCATGAGTGACATTGTTGGTTAGCTCAAAGTTAGGTATCTGGTATCTCATATGAGATTAGGGCTTGAGAAACCCTCGCTGAAAGGGATATTCATCATCAACCAAATAGTAATTACCTTACGTAAATTTCATGATTAGTATTGAGGAAAAAATGATTTAGAAGAGTGGTTGAGTGTCAAGCGTGCCTGTGGGTGGATGTGGGAAGTTTTACTTGTTATTCTGTGTTACAACTTTGAAAATTTGACAATCATGTGCACTGTCTTCCCAATCGGCAGTGAAAAAACTGAAACACATGTTGAAGTCATATACCACCATGACATTCTACGTCGGGGACCCAAAAAAGCCGATGAATGTGTCTTCTCATTATTTGGAACACGTGCATCAATATGTATTCCATTTTTTGCTCCCATATAGTTCTAAAAAGATAACGAAGGGTTTTGTGATTGCATTATTTATTTGAAAATTGAATGTAATAACTAAGAGAAATTATCTTAAAGTTTTGCATATACCTCACATCGTGTGAAATCTCTGTGGGGAGATTTGAACGTAAGATCTATTGGTTTTATGACTTGTGAAGAAAAACTTACAAGTGCATTCAACCCTACTGAGATATATTTGAAAATTATTTCTGAGGAGCGTTGAAATCGCTCTATTACTCCTCATATTACTTTATTTTGTGATAATATGTAGAGGGTTATCGTCAACACCTCTCACAAAGTCATTCTGGATGAGTCATGAAGTTCACGATTTCTGTGTAATTTCTTCAACAAATCAGTGAATATCACTTGCATCATACAAAAAAACTCTCTAATCTATTTTTCTCCATCATATGAAGATGTCATGCAGGGGGAGCGCTTTATGTATGAGTTATAATATTCGTACATCAAGTAAATGTCAGTTGCAACTCTCCTTCTACGTCTTTCTTTAGTTACATCCATGTATTTAAGAAACAAAGTGGCTAACATATAAGCATCAATGAATTAGTTACAATAATATAAGGTTAGAATCAAAACCAACAAAAGCAAATAACATTACAGAAGTAAATAGAAAAGGCATGTCCCAAGCACTTTAAATATCCAAAGCGAAATGAAAAATAATTAATAATTATAAATGTCACATGCGATTGTAAATAAAAAAAAAGTCTCTCAAATGGTCAGCAGGCATCGCGATGAAAAATTCCCTCCAGTTTGAATCTTCAAGCAACTTCATAGAAAACAAATACAGCGGCATGTCCTCAAAATTTTTTGAGTTGCATTCAAAATTTGAATAACCTGCTAGACAGAAGTTACTTGAGATGTGTTGGGTCATTGCTGCATGAAGCCATCAACTGTGATATCTATCTTCTCCGGAAAGTAGCTCCCATTTTCTTTTTATTTTCAACCCGCAAACTCTTAGAACGTCTCGTGGACTCAAGCACATGGAAGTCCGGCTTGGGGCCTTCAGTGGAATCACCTGATTGGTCGGCTACCAAATTTTTTAGATTGCCACTAAACCTCTTCTCACTGGGGGCACAAGCATTGTTTCTTGTCGCCTTGACACCCCCAAACATACCATCCAACTTCTCCTCTAATTAAGGATTGATTCCACACTATTTAATTTTTTTCACAGCATGAACCACCTATAAATTCATATAACATGCAGTTCAATTGAAAAATAAATTAAAAATTAACCAAATATGAGACATTTCAAAAATGTTCACCGCAAGCCTTTCTGCCCACCACCCCTCGGAAGCATCAATCGTTCGCTTCATCGGATCTCACCCTAATCCTGTTGACCCTTGCTTCAATTCCTTCCAGACTTTCTAATTTTTCTTGAGTTAATCCCACCTGTTTTTTTAATTGCATCATATCATACTCTTTGCCTGTACTTTTATTGAATTTTCTGATAATATTTTGTCATTCTTCCTTATTGAAATAGGTTGTAGGCCTATTTCCCAGATTGACCACCTTGAGGTAATGGTCGCAAAATATTATTTTTGTTTCTTTGCCCCACATTACAGATGAACCAGCCCCTTTGTTCTTAATCATTATATCTAGCATGAAAAAACTAATTAACATAAATATTGATGCCACAATATTACAAATCAAAGAAAAATTGTAATGTTGCAATATCATCATCAAGGCCTTCACACCAACTCCTCCACACAAGCACATCAAGACACAAACACATCCACAACACCACCAGTACCACCTCCGCACACCAACACCTCCACACAAACAAGACCACCTCCTTAGAGTCACACACAAACACCACCAGCCACCACATGGACATAACACATGCACCATCACATCCACCGAACACCAAAACCTCCATTAGACACCACACACACTCTACACCACTAGCACTACCTCCACACCACCAACATCACCTCCATACTATCAGCACCACCTCTACACAAATAGAACCACACACACACACCACCTCCTCGTACACCAAACACACTGACACATAAGACACCACACATATACTAAAACAGACACCAACACCTCCACCAAACACCAAAACCTCTACATAAATGTCAAATCCTCCACCAAAAATCACACAGACACCAAAACACTAGCACCACCTCCACACAAACAGAACCACACACCTCCACACAGCACCAAAAATATTTTTATTAACAAATTTAACAACACCTTTTATCCATTTTACAAATTTTCGCTAAAATATCCAAATTCATGTTAAAATCTCATCCCAAATTCAACACATACACAACACCAGAAATATTGTTCTGTTTTTCAAATTCCCACAGGAATATCCAAATTGATGCCTCCAACCCATATTCAATACATGCACAACACCAAATTTCATCCAATTTTCAAAATCCCCACTAAAATTGAAAATAGCAATATAAAAATTCAACACAAAATTCCCACTGAAATAACAGTATACAAATTTAGCATGAAATCTCCACTGAAATTCAAAATTAATGTTTGCAGCCCATATTCAACACATACATAGCACCTGAATATTGCTATTAACAAATCCACGACCAAATTTCAACCAACTTTTAAATTCCCTACTGAAACCAAGCAAGGTATGTTGTAATAAAACTAAAAGAATTTGACCATACCACATACATGGCAACCAAAACATTGCTAACAACAAAAGCACCAAAAATCCAAAGATCAGCGCAAAGCACCAATCCAAGCCATATTGCCAAATCGCAAATCATAGTGCATCAAAACCATAAACTAAAACCATTATGGATTCAACATGAAACATCAAAACTACCAAACCGAGCAAATCAAACCGAGAACTCCCAAACTAAGAAAACAGTGAAACCTAAAAGAGGAAACCAACCAGCATGATGCACACCACATAAAGAAGAGAGAAATTGCAGGAGGTGAAAAACAAAGAAGAGAGGTAGAAGAGGAAATATCGCACAGAGCTAAAATGAGCACAACCACCAAACCGAATCGAAAAAGAGGAGAGAGAGAGGAACAGAAACCAACTAAAGAAAGTGATACACCAAATTGATGGAAGTGATCCACCACACAGAGCACAAAAATGCACAAACCACAAAAAATAGAGCGGAAGAAAAGAGAGGAAAGGGAGAATAAGGTAAGGGTCACCGGAGCAACCACTCGCAACCAAAATTAGCCAACCAGAAAGAATGCCTAGCCACCGGAGCCACGGATCCACAAGAGAGATACATAAGGCAGAATAATCGCGAGAGAGGGAGCAGGGTGAATAGAGATGGATGAAACGCGTGAAGAGGGGTTGTGGGGTATATCAACCTGGGGTCGAGAGTGGAGAAACGCGGGTTGCGGGATTGAACCCGCGACCGCACTTTAACGAAATTTTTTTAGAAGGTCGGTCTGACGCCTTTTCCAAATGCCTTTTTAAGCATCGTCGAGGCGTGCTGCGCGAATTCAGACTCTCCAAGTGGATCCTTAGTTTGTATAATAAATTCCAATTCTACAAAAAATCAAGATGATCTTGAATCATTTTCCATAGCTCGGTAAAGTTAGAAAGACATGTATGCTTGATCAAAAGAGACATGGATAAATATATAACTATTTATTGAGCAGCTAAATACATGAAAAATTATTATAATTTATTATTTATATTTCCCTCCATAATTTATCTATGTTTATGAGGAAAGTTCCGTTAGAGCTTAGCAACCGCAAAAAGCAACTTCTGCCGCTCCTCTTCAGTCTCCTCAGAGAGCCCCACCGCCTTGCAAATCTCCGGCAAAGAACTCCGGCGAATCGAAGCATATACATCTCCATTCCAATCCCTTTCTAAGAGCTCATCCACACGCCGCACCGCAGCCTCCACCGTCTCCGCTGCTCCGATATGTGATCCGTCTATGATGCCCTTCGCCTGCGCTTCCGCAGCCTTCAGCTTCGCTCCTCGCAACACTAGGTCGCGGACAACCTTCGCATCAGAAACTTTGGACCTGATCAATGTTAGGAAGTAAGGCGGAAGTGGCATCCCTAAATCGATCTCGCTCATGTAAATGAATCCCCTGTCTGCCCTCATCTCCACGTAATCGTGGCTGATAGCCAGGATGAAGCCGGCGGCTGACGAGTGACCGTTGACGGCGGCTATGGTCGGCATAGGAAGAGCGAGAAGGTCGGCGATGAGCTTTATAAAAAGGGAGCCCATGGAGATGACCCGTGCCTGGAAGGCAGCAGGGGAGGATGCTGCTTTGGACCAGGCAATGTCGAAGCCATTGGAGAAGAAGCGTCCTTGGGCGGTGACGACCAAGGCTCGGCCTCGCCTGCCGCACGAGTAGTAATCTGTCTTGGCGTAGGCAAGGGCGGATCGTATCGCATCAATGACGTCGGGGGAAAGGCGGTGCTCGCCTTCGCCGGTGAGAGTGAGGACGAACACTCTGCCGCGTTTCTCAATAGTGCACATTTTGGAGTAGCGGAGTTAAGATGAATCGTTGCTTCAATTTCTTGAATCTGGGAGAGAACTGCAAGGATTTTATGGGGTGGGGGGGGCTTTTAAGCCCTGGCTGTAACCATGGATGTTTCCTGGGAGGAGGGAACGAAAGTTCGTCAGCGCCTTTCCCAGGGCCAGGCGGCGTGACTTCTCGACATCTGTAAGGAAATTTTCTATTTTTCTGGCTTTTTTTTTTTAAGGATGTTTCGTGGAAAGAGGGAACGGCAGTTGGTAAGCCGCCTTACCGTGAGCCAGGCCGTGACTTCCCCAAATCTGTCAACATGAATTATGAATTTATTTATTAAATTATTTAATTATTTAAGGGGTGTCTGGTTAAAAAAAATTACGCTCATTATTATTTTTTAATAATCAAATTCATCTTTTCATATATATAAGTAAAGTGTTATGTATATAAAAATGAAAATTTATGTATGGATAAGTAAATCTAGAAGAATTGGGTGCTATGTATCTAGTTTTCACAAAAAAATAAAGAGAAAAATATTTATTAAAACTACCAAATAAAAAAAAACATTGAAAAAAATAGTAAAATAAAAGAAGCAAGGCTCAAAAAACTTTCATACACGATCTAGACAATCATGCCACCATTAGTCAAAGGGTCAAGATCGATGCATGATTCCACAATCTTCTGTCAGTCCTTAATATGAAGACACTCGATAGCACAATAGAACACATCATCGAGAGAGTGAGGCCCGACATCCTACCTAGTGACCGACTCAATATGAAAAGTGTTTGATGTCTAATCAATGAATGAGATAATGTGGGTCGTATAAAATAAATATTACTTTAAGAGAGAACCATCGATGAAGACCGTAACTTACCTTTGAGGCCCTAAGAATTATCGTACCTATCACTGGGATCAAGGGCACGATATTTTTCAACCATTACTATCACAAACAAGTTAATTTTCTTGATAGGAGTGCTTGTCAAAGAAATATCAAAAATATCCTTTGTTACCAATTTAATTATTAAGAAGAAAAAAGAGTTCTCCACTTAGTAAAGTACTTCAAAGTAATTTCTATAAAATTTCCCTAGCTTTCTATCCAAGTGTGAGTTTAGGAAGCCAAACTTAATATTCATATGATCTAACTTTGTTGATTAATTATTTAAATTCTCACATACAATATAATGAGTCATTGCTAATAAATTCAAATAAACACCAATTGAATAATGAATAAGCCCCATCTTAGGTGGGGGAATTATTTATCTCCTATGCTATCTACTTATTCAAATTGTTAGATTAAGGGATCAAAAAAGTTGTTGGACTACCCTTTCAAGTATAATGGTTTACTATTGAAAGGTGTTAAAATGCATTTATCAAATGATGATCATGATAATGACCTTCGTTGGGGTACTCACTGGCTTGGTATCTAAAAGGAGAAAATTTGATTATTGATTAAGTCATAATAATGAATTGAGAGCTCGTTAAATATTGGTTAGGCCAACTGTCAAGGTTTATAAAGTGGAAATTACATCAATGTATCTCATTATTCAACTTGCCTCACCTTTGACAAATTTTGTGCTTTTTTTTGTAAGTTATTTTTTTTTCTCCCTTCTCTATGAACAACAATGATATGTTTTTGATTTTGACAAATGCTTTGAAGCAGATCTTGATAGAGAGCATCCCCAACTTTCATTTGAGAAACCCATCAATTGAAGCTAAGAAATTGAAATTGCAACTTAGAGAAAAATGATGATTAAATTAAGCTAATCCCCAGATGGAAACATAAATCAAGCAAAGTTACCTGAAAATAAAGAAGATTAAATATGCAACTGAAAAAGCATAAAGTACAAATCAAGCAATAAAGATCAAATTAAATAAAATTTGGCAAAATGGCGATTGTAAATTTTCCATAATATAGATATCTTGTAGAGTACTAAAACCTAATTGACTCGAAACCTACTAACCTAAAGCTACTCCCTTACCCGCTTTGCCCAAAAAGTTTAAGAATTCATCAAAATGGAGACTTTGCTTAGATAATTCAATGATTTTTTCTAGCAAATCAACGACCTTTGGAAACAAAAATTATAAAATTGGTCGTGATTCTTACATTGAAATATTGATTCTCTCCTTCTATATTTAGCTACATGCTTTCTATATACAGGGACAAAAGTCTTAATATATTTTTTCAAAATTCATATAGTTTTTTTGTAATGCTAGGATCCCCAACCCAAAGTAAAAAAATTAAGGGTTGGAGGATGGCCTAACATACCAAATTATGGGTACTTGATTTTATTTTTCATTTTTCAGCAATTTACCAAAAAAAATTACAAAGCTTCAATATTGATAATTGAGATACTCTTTTCTCTATTCTTTAATGTTTTCCTCCATATTTCTTATTATGTGTATCTTGTGAGTCTTGTTATTAAGATAATATTGCTGCCTAGACATTATTTAAATCCAATAATATGGATGATTAGTCTTAGACAGCTTGTCATTTTTCTTATGAATTGAAATAACTATTGCTTCTTAATAATTAGCAATTGACCTTACTTTCTCGGTAAATATAACAATCACTTCTACATCGTGTCATGATAATAGTAGTCAGCTAACAACCATTATACCTACTTTGCTGATCAAATATTTGTTATTTGGTCTTATCAAATAGATGCCTCCATAGTCGGCAAAGAATAGGCATGACAGACGGACTTCTATAAATAGGTTCTTGAATAAGGTGTTGTTGATGATGTCATTAAAAAATAAAACACTGAACAATCCTTAGTTTTGAATAATTTAGGTAAAATAACTCAATTGATTGAATATAGAAAGGAAAAAAAAAAGTTTTCAAAAACAAACAAATTGTTCAATCAATCATTGGATTTTTCTCTTTGATCACTCATATCTCTGCTTTTAATTCATTTTCTTGGCTACATTCAAATAATAATCTTTTAAGTCAATGGATTAACTTTCATTTGAGAAGATGTTGATCCTCTTTTTTGTTGTACTTAATGTTGATTTCTTTTAGTGAAGCGGCGCTCACTGATAGTCTCTCGAAGCTGTTATCAAGAACGATAATTTTTTATTGTTTTGGACCTCAAAAGATCTTCTCCATTCCGCCAACGCGTCTTTCAAAAGAATTTCGCTGAATGACTAAGGATCTGTTTGGGGCAGCTTATTTGGTGTGGTAGCGTTTTCAAAACGCGTCTGACCTGTTTGGGTAAACTGCATTTTGGCAACTTATGTGTTTTCAAAACGCTAAAAACAGCGTTTTCACACCGCACATGTCTAGGTGCGGTGGCAGCTTTCCGA